ACTTATTTCGTTTTTCCGTGACACGTGACGCAACGATTATTAGATTTCGATATGATTGACGGCGTGGGCGCAGAAAACCTCTGCAATTTATCGTCGCATAACTTTCAAAGTACTATAACGAACCCGTTACGTAATTTTAATTATGTGACGACTCGCTAGAACTTTCAAACTGCAATCTCGTATGTACAATTAAATTTCAATTGTCGCGATCAATGTTCGATTTTAAAGGATTTTCTATTTTGAAGACTGAAAACTGTTCGAATTTTTGTGTAGCATTGGTTTTTCGTATCAATATGTCAACATTAAGCTTTGTCGGAATAATTATTTTAATTATTTCAACAGTTAGAGAACATAGTCAATGAATATGCATTATTTGTTTAAATATTTAGAGCACCTTCGAACAGATCATATAAAACAATACAAAAATTATTTCTATAACTAATCTTATTATAATTAAACATATCGATGTTTGTCCTCAGTCGAACAGTATGTATCTAATCAATTATATGTTTTATAATCGCATTAACGTTATATCTGCCGCGTCACCCATATGTGTTTAACGGAATTATTTGTTCAGATTCGAAACTTAATTCGTACACTAATCTGTTATATTTTCCAAATTTTACTTGGGTCCGTAAAACATGAAAATGTTGAAAAAAATAATTGATATTATACAGCTTAACTTTTCAATTTTAATTCGATTAAACGAAATGCTTTTTTTAATGAAATATTTGACACTGTTGATGTGGCAGTCAAAGTGTTAAAGCATCGAAAGAACTCGACGTAGTAATAATGTTATCAAAAATACAAGCTGCAGCAGCAGTTATCACAAAACTCGGCGATCATGTTTTTTTTAACACGGCACAGAAAAAAGTCGGCCCTCCATCTTCATTTGCCTGAGATCAGAAGGGCCACGATGCCAATAAAACGACCTATCTCGATAGTAGATTGTGGTGCCTGTGCCGACACCGACGCCGCCGCAACGTTACCCCTCCATCCATTCGAGAGCACTACTCGAAGTCGAAGGGAACACCATCGATTAAAGTCCAATTGGATTACATTCTCACAAGAGAACAACCACGAATAACCTATAATAAACTAGATTATTTTTAACCTGACCACAATATTTCATTCACTCTAGAAAGATAAGGATTTCTAAACCATAAAAAATGATCGTATAGGTTTTGAAGGTTTCAAAATCCTTGTCTTCCAAGATTGAATTAAATATTTTTGACAAGTTAGAGATATTGGGTTGGCAACTAAGTAATTGCCGATTTCGGTTATAGATGTCTCTCACTCCCATTTTTATGATGTCCGTAAATGTTATATAAGTTTCAAACAACACTTTACCAATCTCCTATCAAGTATCTTCTTTTGAAAATGGTCTTATCTGATCTGAATTAATAGTATGAATAATAATAGCTTAAATAATCGCATTCTCGTTGGTATCAGGATGATGTTCGTAGAGGTCATTGACATTTATCGTGCAGTTAAGACACGTAACGTTGTCCGAAATTTTCACACGCTTCTAAATGAACGAACAAAATCCGGATAAAATAAGATACAGTAGATTCTAGTCAACGTATCACATTATCATACAATAAAATATTCTCGAAGAAATAACAAAAAATTAAAATACGTTAAGAATATTCCCTTATCGTCAATGTATTGGGTTGGCAACTAAGTAATTGCCGATTTCAGTTATAGATGTCTCTCACTCCCATTTTTATGATATCCGTAAATGTTATATTATAAAATTATTATTATTATTATTATTATTATGTTATTTTTTATTATCCGTGAATGTTAGCAACTGGACAAATTGAATGCAGCGGTCAAGGAAAAGCGATCAGAATTGGTCAATCGTAAAGGTGTCATTTTCCAGCAGGACAATGCTAGGCCGCACACGTCTTTGTCCACTCGGCAAAAATTGATGGATATTGGTTGGGAATTGATGTTACACCCACCATATAGCCCTGATCTCGCGCC